AAACCCATGTTATTTATACTTTTAGATAATGACCACCGTTTATTCCGAAAATACCAGGACAATTTTAACAAAAATTTCATAGCTAATAGGCATTACTTATATGTTAATTTTATTCAAAGATTTTCAAAAATTTTACATCAAATTTTTTGGCTTTAAATTTATGCATTGGATGTTTATTTATCATTTTAAATAGTTATTAGTAATTTCCCGTCACGTGTTGTCCCTTTCCAGACATATTACTAAACCGCCTCTAAAACTCCCATTGAAAAGCATTACGGATAATGTGTGCCTTCAATGTTATGTCTGGAAAGGGACAACACGTGACGGGAAATTACTAATAACTATTTAAAATGATAAATAAACATCCAATGCATAAATTTAAAGCCAAAAAATTTGATGTAAACCACTGGCCAGTTGTAGCGGGTCCTCGAGCCGACCGACTCATTGGATTTAACACTATATTCTGGAAAGCGGCAATGGCTACTCGTGGTAAATATTTAGACTATTATTTTTGGAAATTGTTACCACCTATTGGATATACATATCGGCTAAACGAATTTAAAATCTACAACTTTTAATTATATTTAATCCAATAATTTACTTATTGTCAAATACTTTTGACTGGCTTGAAATATGGCACGTTATGCAAAGTTGCTGATATTAATTGATGAGTAATTGTTTAAATTTAATTGTGAGTTAAATTCAATAGCACTTTAAATATACTTTTCATTGGCTTTTCAAAAACAAAAGCATTTAAATTGATTTGATGGCAAAATTAAATTTACTGCATGTGTTCATCGATAATTCTCATTTACATTTAGTTCTGAGATATAGTGTAAGTACATAAAAACCTAAACCATATAGATTTAAAAGGTTATTTGTTTTCATTTTAAAATTAAATAAATCAAAATATAACAAAAAATGGACAAATAGGGTGACAGCTCTGTACATAATTTTGCATAAAAATAATAATTTATAGATAAAACATGAGTCATATAGTAATTATATAGAAATATTTAATATTAAATGAAAGCAAATTCATTTTTCAGTCAAACTCATTGTCTTCGACCTCTTTTGGGGCACTTTTGGTGAGAATAGCTTTGATTATATCATCGATGAGTTGATTGTCGACGACAGTCGTCGCGCCCGCTGTCCTCAAAGTCGTGCCAAAAGCTATTGAAAACAATACAAAACTCAATGAAAACACACATCAAATAAACACTAATATCTCGTAACCAAACATGAATACCATGTGTGGCGCCGGCGGTCAGCGTTTGGCCGATAGTGTGCAACACTGCGACCCCTCCGCCGGCCATATCTGTGGCCGCTTTGGCCGCTTGTATTGCGTGGTATTGTTTGATTGCGTCCAACAGTTTCAACGATTTAAGTTATGTTTTGTTATATTTTTGAAAATAATTAAGGTCATTCTGGAAATTAATAGTGTCCCTAGAGTTTAATGTAAAATCCATCTCAGATATTGGGTGCTCACACTCTGTACATAAAATCAGTGTTTATATAATAGTTACACACTTTTTATACAAAAATTATTATATACTAGTTGTAATAACTTTAGGTATTTAATTAAATTAATTTGTTAATTCCAAACACTGAATGAAAATTATTAAACACATTGTCAAAACAAATCAGAATTTTATGCATTAATTAATTGTTAACACATTGATGTTTTAATACTTTGTATAAATTGAATAGTCTTGCGATCGCTTTCCAAACCAGTGATCATTTCATTGATGGCCTCCAGAGTCGGGTGCGCTTTATTCCAGTCCCGAACCAAATATACGGCGTCCACGACTGTCAGCGCCAACCCTATGGCAGACATGTGTTCCCGAAGTTGCCTTTCCATTGATGTCTTCGTACTCAACACGAAAGCCAAAGGAAACGATAGTTTCATTACAACTGTTGAGAGAGAGAGAGAGAGACTATTCAATTTATACAAAGTATTAAAACATCAATGTGTTAACAATTAATTAATGCATAAAATTCTGATTTGTTTTGACATTGTG